TAAAAGACCCACAAATACCACATTAGGTGGGAAGCAGCAATGAATTGCCAGAATATTGCTTACAGAAGAGTTACAGAAGGGGTTCTGCGCCCTGTTTGGAAGATCTGCACACTGGTTGTTAAAGGAAAGAACACTGATTTGCATTGTGTTTTGACAACTTTAAACATTTGGATAGAAACATATTCTATATAGTGAGAAACAGACTTTTATTCATTCGTGTAGGACAAGTTATCAGGATAAAACCAAGCGGGAAGCTTCCGGTGGGAGACGCGAGGCCAACGCGGAAGTCCCTTAAACCTGCATTCTATTGGACGGCCAGCAGGGGGCGACTCCTCTGGTTCCAAAAAGAAGTCCTGTTCCATTAGAAATAATGGTAAAATGTTTCTACTTGTCAGCTGATTTATTCCCTCAGTAAACACTTTCCTGATGAGTTTATGGTCTCAGTCGCTAGTTTCAAGTCTTCTTCAACACAGCATGATGTTCATTTAGTAAATCATGGTGCCATTTAGAGGAACAGAGACCAGGAAGCAGGGGAGGCTTTAGGGCGGGATTCAGGCTAGAGTGACTCGTACCCACGGCACTGTGTAAATTTAACCAGCGCTGCTGAAAAAACGTATTAGCAGTTGGCTGTTCACTTTCTCATTGTCAGCCCTGTTAAAATGACGTTATTGTGACATACAGATGCACCTAGCTAAGCAAGCTAGCTAGCTTCCCACACGGCCGTTAGCTCCACCGTCTCGTCCAAATATGGTCACGTTCGTTTGCCGATGGTTGCAAAAACTCAGCATGGCGGCGCCCTATCCAGAAAAACCCGGCAGATGCTGACAAAAAATTGTTGGTAAAATAGCATCTCACTTTAATCCTTTAGCGCGCCCACACAATTGCACTTATTTACAAAACACGTGAGTAGGCCTATCTAAGTATTTGTCAGATGTAGACTTATGATATGGTGAGAATTCTGAATAATGCAAAAATGGATCAATTTGTACATACATTAAGTAAACAAGAAAATCATATTGATATGAGAAGTGTCCACGTTTTAAACCAGTAGATCCAGAATGATTCCTATCTGAGTAACAGATTAACTAAATGACCAACTTTTTCTGTGCCTATGTTGCATAAAGATAAAATAGGATGACTCTTTTGTAAGAAGTGGGTATTTCATAGTGCATTCTAATAGGGTTATTTTGGCGTATGTCTCTGTGTCACCAATGCTGTTTACTGTAATACATCATATCCTCTTCCTCTATAAACTCATAAAACCAGTGTCTGTACCACATTTTGGCAGCTCTGTCTAAGCTCACTGTCTGACAGCTCTGCACTGCAAAACCCCCGATGTTGAGACATTTATCAGGGCCGGGGAAATGTTGTTTGACTAACAATAACAGTGTTTTTATTGATTTTCTGTCACTGTGAGTTGCTGCTTATGAGAAACAGCACCCAATGAACACAAAGCAGGCACACATTCACATACATTACACACATATTATAGAGTTCAAAGCTCTGCAGTCCTTTGGTTGTTTTTTACTTTTCATGAGCTGCAGTGATAAAATATGGCAGAGCTCAGGTAAAACCACTGCTGACTGAATGTTTGATGGTTCTGAATTATCTCTCGGACTAATCCTAAGGAATATCAGATGGAGGCTCCTACCTGTATGTGCTGAAATTGAATTAATTTGAGGAAATGAATTCTCTGCAGTTTTGGTATCCTCAGGTGCATCTAACTAGAAGGTGATGATTAAGACGATGCAGTGCAACATTTGGGATACAGCATGTGGAGTGAGAACCATCCAGCTCATGAGATTTTCTTCGGTTTCCAAAATCCCTTAAAGAAAAGAACATACATATTTCATATCTTTGTTCTTAGTGTGTTCCTCTCTGTCTTAAACACAGGTAGCCTGAGGTCCAGTCCCACCATTGTCATCCAGCGGGAGTCTTTTTCTTGAGATAGAGTTCAGTTTCACAACAGATTATAATTCACCGCGCTCCGTTTTGCTCAAGGTAAGCTGAATTGTGTGTCTCCTGGTAACATTTTAGGTTACTGATGTTTGTTATGAATTGTTCCTTCAGTTCTATTTGAAACTAGCATTTATCTCTGGAAATGCTCCTTGTTTTGAACATTAGGTAAAGGGGAGACCGGGTATGGCTGTAACATGGGGAGAGTTGTAACAACACCAATTCTACCAATTAGAGATAAGATAGGAGTCATGTGATCATTTCAGTATTTACCTTAGTAGAGAAAAAATGATTTTGAGGTCAGAAAGTAAATTTTTTAACCAAGACAATATTTTGTTTACTATCTATACTATTGCAGATAAAATTGTTTGACTTATATGAGATTGAAATGTAGTTTCTCAGGCAACATGTGATGCATTTTTTCCTTTCTAATTTCAAACCACTATGTTAATAAAGCTAACTAAACATTGTCTGACAGGGGTGGTTTGGGTTGTAACACTACTTTAAAAAGTGTCACAACCATCCACGATACATAAAACTAGGGACTTTCTTGATTTTAATATTACTGTCCACCGGTGAGTAGCGGCCCACTTCAAGCACTGACTGTGACTAAGGATGTACAAAGATTATATTCCTTAAGTAAGTACAATGTAGTAATATTTATTAAATATACTGTTAGGTAAGTTTGTTCTATAGACAATTTACATACACATACATGACCGCGAGTCATCGGACACAGTGAGCGAGAAACATTGTTCCTTTATTTCGCTATACCTGTTTTTGAAGCATAACATATGGTCTGGCATCTATTCTTGCTACCCGGTAGGTGGTAACAAAGGGAACACAGTGCATTTGACATCATCACCTCACGAGGTCTGTGATATTCTTGTAGAGGATTGAACGGGTGCCATTTGTAGTGAACAAATGTGGGTACTTTTCATAAAGTTTG